AAAAGTGTCAAAGTGAAATGTCAGAGATATCAGAGATATCAACTGTCAAATTTAGTCCTTAAGGCAATCAGACATTCCATACTTAACCTAATATTTCTTTTTTTTTCTTTTAGCATATTATGGGGGTACCAGTGTTAAAGTTACATATATTGCCCATGCCTCCCCTCCCCCCTCGAGTAAGAGCTTCAAGTGTGTCCATCCTCCAAACGTTGGACATTTTACTTGTTGTGTTTGTATATACCCATCCCCTCCTCCCCCCTCCCACCTGCCTGACACCCAGTAAATGTTACTCCTGTATGTCCACTTAGGTATTGATCCGTTAATACCAATTTGCTGGTGAGTACATGTGGTGCTTGTTTTTCCATTCTCGAGGTACTTCACTTAGTAGAATGGGTTCCAGCTCTATCCAGGAATATACAAGAGGTGCTAGATCACCATTGTTTTTAACCTAATATTTCTAATGGTGGTGATGATGTAAGAATCTTTTTTTTTCTTTTTGCCATTTTACTTTCACAAGAAATACTCCCTTAAAATGAGATTATAAAAGACAATTGGTGATGCTAATTACAGTCTAGAAACTGAGATCATCATGTGAAATATGTGTCTTTGCCTTCCTAATCTGCCGATTGTTTTAGAGTGTCGCTATCTGTGTTGAATTATAGAACATGTTTCACTCACTCGGATGCTAATTTAACAACTCTATGGCGGCTGCATCACAATCACGACCATCAGCTGGGAGTTGCAGCTATTTATTCATTTGGTGCTAAAAGGCTTTCCACACACAGAGCACCACACCCCTCCCCACCTCTTCTCACCGTGCCTCGATGGGACACTCTGCTGTCAGGTCCCTCATCATGGCGCTGTCAATCAGCAGACACTGGTGCCCCACAAGAAGCACAGGGTACACGCTGGCAGGTCTGCTAACAGAAGCTGTTAACAAAGATCTGCTGACCCCGTGCTCTTTAAAGATGTTTTAAATTCCATCCTTTGACGGCCTTTGCCCTTTGGCAGGATGATATCAGCCCCTCGTCTAAGCTACCGGGCTTTAATAGCCGGCCCAATGACAGTGGCATTATTCTGTCTTGCAGCAGAATACGTTGTGGAACTCATGGTTTTAAAATTTAAGACTTCTGTGAAAGCATCCATCCACCTCTTTCTCCCACACTGAATTTCCAAAATGTGCTGCATTCTCCGGTCATGCTTTTGACTTACCAACAACAACAACAACAAAAAACCCTCAAATCATAATATGGTCTTTCTTAGTGTGGTCTCCTACAAACTGGTAAAGGTTCAAACAGGTGGGATTAGCTGCAAGAAGCAGTACCTTTTATCTAGCACCCACAGCTATAATATAGTAAGGAGCATTAAGGAATCGAGTAAAGAATTTTCGAGATGGGAGGCCCCAGAACCCTTATTGTCTGTCGTCACATTGCCCCTCAACAAGACCACAAAACCAGGCAGTAAAAACTGGGAGCCTGTGGTTCTCTCCTAACCAGAAGGGACGAGAAAACAGGGAGTGGCTATGCTTTCTTTTTACTCTCGAAGGGAACTCCTCGTGAAGTCAGCCTTTCCCTGCTCGGTCCTGTTTCTGACCGCCGCACAACGGTTGCTCAGTCTTCCGTAGGCACCGTGCGCTTTGTCACGGACACCATGCACTTAGCTGTGGTTGCAACTTCATTGCCAATCCCCTCCCACTCTCCGAAAAGAAGAGTCATTTTATTTCAGAGTGGTTCGTGTGTGTGAGAGAGAGAAAGAGAGAGAAAGAGAGAGAGAGTGTGTCTTTTCCTGTCAGCCAATGCATATAATGATCCCATTTAAGCACATATTTCACATGACAATCTCAGTTTCTAAGACTGTAATTAGCATCACCAATTATCTCCTATAATCTCATTTTAAGGGAGTATTTCTTAGGAAAATAAAATGGCAAAAAAAAAAAAAAAAGGAAAAGATTCTTACATTATCACCACCATTAGAAATATTAGGTTATTATGTATGGCATGTCCGATTTCTTTAAGTATTAAGTTTGACAATTGATATCTCTGACATTTCCCTTTGACACTTCTCTTTTATTATTGTGAAGGTACATCCTCATTCTTTCAAATGCACATGGTGGCTTGTGATTATCTTTCAAAAAAAAATGTTAGAGCGATTTTTGTGAAACCATGGACAAGCAAAAATTTGTGTTATTTTCAAATATGAGTTCCGTTGTGGAACCAATGCAGCACAGGCAGCTCGAAATATCACCTAAGTGTTTGGGAAGGACGTGGCTAATAAACACACAGTACATCGATGGTTTGAGAAGTTTTATTCTGGTGATTTTCTTCTCGAAAATGAACCATGTGGGTGACCTGAGATCAAGGTGGAAAGCTGAAAGCTATAGTGGCTGAAAGCGATAGTGGAAGCGAATCCATCTCAGCTACATGTGAATTAGCAGCAAGGTTTGATGTTACTATTCCAACAATATTGGACCATTTGAAACAAAGGGGCAAGATAAAGAAACTGGATAGGTGAGTACCGCATGAATTTAATGAGCATCAGAAGACAAATCATCTGGAAGCTTGCCTTTCTTTGATGTCATGACATAAGGCAAACAATTTCTACACGGTATTGTTATATGTGATGAGAAATGGATTATTTTTGACAATTGTAAGCATCCGGCACAATAGCTGGATAAAGTTGAAGTCACAAAACACAGTCCAAAACCGAATATCCATCCAAAAAAGCTAATGGTGTCTGTTCGGTGGTCCAGCACTGGTATTATCCACTACAGCTTCATGAAACCTGGTCAATCAATTACAGCGGGTGTCTACTGCTACCAACTGGATGAAATGATGAGGATGCTTGTGATTAAGCAGCCAAGATTGAGCAATGGAGAGAGGCCTTACAAGACAGCACTGGACCACATGTCACACAAACAACGCTGCTTAAGTTGCAGTAGCTGGACTTGGAAACTCTCTGTCATCCACCATATTCACCCACCCTTGCACCAGTTGACTACCGCTTCTTGCTGGCTTTGGATCACTTCTTGCAAGGAAAAATATTAAATTCTCAACAAGCTGTGGAAAATGGCTTTCGCGATTTCATCGCCACTGGCTCTCCAAGCTTCTTTGCTGATGGCATAAGCAAGCTACCATGAAGATGGCAAAACTGTCGATAGTTTTGGTACATACTTTGCTTACTTGTACTGCTTCTTGTTTGAGATATAATAAGCTAAACTTTTGATTTGAAATAGGGCATTTCATATTTAGCGATCCACAGCTGTTGCAGAATCTCAAATTTGAAGCAGTGATGCTTCTTGCTAGCGGTGGCCTGTCTTCAGCCCAGAGTTCGTCCTGTACTGGGTGAACAGAAGCGAAGCCTACCCAAGTAGGCAAAGGATTATAAAGCTGGAAACGGCCTTAGACACTTTCTCCCAACCACTTCATTTTACAGATAAAGGAATTGTGTCTTGGTGAGGTTTAATGACTTGCTGAAGTTCACCCAGCTGGTTAAGGGCAGAAAATAAACAAAAGTAGATCTCTTGATTCCCATCTATCAAGGGCATCTTCTAAGGCACAACCCTCAATAATTCTCAGCAAACTGTCCCCCCCGGGGATGAGTGATGCCCTGGCTTGTTAACATAAGCATGGTCTGTTTTTATAGCAGTGTTGGCTCCCCACTGAAGTTTCTCTTCGCCTAATACAAAAATCAGCTCTCACTGCAGATCAACTGTATTCAAGTGAAGAGAGCCTAGATGCAAGCTCAGTGGCGAGAGGACAGCGATTTGGAAATGGAAATGCCGTTCTACAGTATTCAACCCGCAGGGTGGGTAATCTGGGTGCTTTTGTTCACAGTGTGGTTCTGCTGATTTCTTAGTTATGTGTTTTTGTTTGTTTATTGGTTTCCACTGAGGAAACGGGGACACATGGTCTTTGTAGACAGGAGAAAAATGTGTTGTGTAGGAGATTAAAACGCAAATGGGAGGCCAACGAGAGAAACACCCAGGCATGCTGGTTCAATCTCTTTTGCGATTCCATGGCAGTACCGCTGCCATGCGGATTGCTTCGCACATAATTAGCCTTGCCATTGGGAGCCCACGTCTGTAGGCCCCACTTACCACATTTCCTGTATATTACTAAACATTTCAGACCGAGACAGAGAGAAAGAAGGAGAAAGTGATTTCCACTGGCAAAAAGGGCTCATTTTTTTTTTTTTCTTTTCTATCTTGTAAAAGGAAAGAGGAAAAATGATGGCAAATTACTCCTCGGTTGACTTCTTCTCTTGAACTGTCCCCAGGACTCGACTCTACCATCCTCCTTGGAATAAAACCTGATGATGCAAAATACTGCCTGGCTTCTGACTCTGCACTCTGTCAGCTTGCGATGGAAATATTTTCTTATTTTTATTTTATTTTTTTTTAAATGGCTACATATTAAAAGCAAACCAGTCTTTGCCAGATTTGGATAAAAGGATATTTATTTTCAACCAATTTGATAGCTGCAGTTTTCAGTAATTGAATTTTCTGTGGTCAGAAAAGCAGTAATCTTAGAAACCAAATAAATATTTTTTAATAAAACGGAACACTGAGAAACCCTATAATAATGTCAAAAATGTAGCCACTTATGGATGGATAAATATTTTAAGAAATTTACATTTCACCCAAAGCTTTATGCTTCTAGCTTCCCTGGAGATTTTGAAGAGCGTAACATTTTGCTTTGGGAATGGAACAACGTAGGGCTTAGATGAAATACACACCCTATAGAAAACTTTCTGGTTGTTAGGGTCTCGTAAGCTGGTAGCTCTATCAATGCCTCTAGCAAAGAGTCTACACCAAGGTTTCTCTATCTCAGCACAACTGACATTTTGGCCCACATAATCCTTTACGGTGGGGGCAGTCCTGTGCACGGTAGGATGTTTAGCAGCATCTCTAGCTTCTACCCACTAGACATTATGACATCACCCAGTTGTGACAACCAACAATGTGTCCAGACATTGCCAAGGGTCCCCTGATCTGGCATGTTGTGATGTTTAATTTTATGTGTCAACTTGACTGGGCTAAGGAATGCCCAGATAGCTGGCAAAACCTTATTTCAGGGTGTGTCTAGGAGAGTGTTTCCAGAAGAGATTGGCAATTCGAATGGATGGAACAGGTTAAGAAGATCTGGCCTCATCAGTGTGGGCAGGCATCATCCAACCCTTGGAGGGCCCACCTGAATAGAACAAAAAGGCAGGACTTTGGGACCATATCCTATAAACAGAAGAATGTCGTGGTACAGGCAGCTCTCCTCTCCCAGTAGAAAGCAATGATGTAACATAACAGTCACATAAAGATGCCAAATTCATAATAATTTCATAAAGTATGAATTAAAAAATAGATGTATTTGTGTTTACACCCAAAACATTTGTAAGGCAACTCCATCTACACCCATTTGATAGATTGAAAAGCTGAGATTTAGAATGCTGAAGAAAATGTCTTTTGGCCAGGCATGACGGCTTACACCTGTAATCCTAGCACTTTCGGAAGGCTGACGTAGGAGGATGGCTTGCAGTCAGGAGTTCAAGGTGAGCCTGAGCAAGAGCGAGACCCCGTCTCTACAAAAAATAGAAAAATTACCTGGGCATGGTGGCGCATGCCTGTAGTCCCAGCTACTCGGGAGGCTGAGGCAGGAGGATCGCTTGAGCCCAGGAGTTTGAGGTTGCTGTGAGCTAGGCTGATGCTACAGTACGCTAGCCTGGGCAACAGAGTGAGACTCTGTCTCAAAAAAAAAAAAAAAAAAAAAAAAGAGAACTCACTCTTCTTTTTTGCACTATGGTATTGACTTTCAAAATAGAGGAAATAATTCCCTACATCATCAAGTTTCAGCAGATTCACGTTATGATTATCATTTGCCTTTGGTCACATTCCAACAATTAGCAATCGTAAGTCATTTGGAGAGGTGGTATAGCACCTTAGGGTTAAGAGTTTAGGCTCTGGAGTTGCGCTGCTTGGCTTCAAATTCTTCCTCTAACTATTTAACAGTTGTGGAATCATGGCACATTTCTTAAACTCTCATTGCTCAGTTTTCATGTCTGTAAAAATCAAACTGATCTCACAAGCTTGTTGTAAATTCAAATATTTCAATCATATTTAAAGTTTTTTTTAAGGTGTGTTATTTTTATATGGCTTCTTAAAACATGTTTGCTTTATTCATTTCACTCTATGAGCTTTAATAAGTACTGCGTCTTTAAGAAGTTTACTGTGTCAATGTCCATATAGAACTATACTATTCTAGTTCAGAGAGTTTTATGTTTTAGTGTAATATTGCTTTTTCTCTGGAAGCATTCAAGTTCTGTTCTTGGCTCCATTACAACCTCCATAGCAGACTTTTGGTAATTACTGACTTCAGACACTATCTTTATTGTTGTTCTATTTTTTTCAACTATAAAATAGATATATAATAGATATGATACATGATATATGGAGATATGTTCAAATTTCTCACTATGTGTATTATAGTGTACTGAGTAACCAGCAGCAGTCAATGTTTCTAAGTAAACGGAATAATTTCTTACAATTTTTTTGTTATGAAAACACAAAACTAAAGAAATTTTGGCATCAATTTTGTACATCTCCCAGTCTCTAATCAGGATTTTTCCTAAACCACTAAGAGCAGATTTTGTGTAAACCGTGCTCCTAAAACTTGATGGGAAGAAGGAAAGGGGATTGTTGTTACGGAGTTGAGAAGGGAACAAGGGTCAAAGAAAAGTTGGTGGCACGTAGCTTGTTACTCCTGTCTGCTGAAGACAAAGGACAAGACATAGCAAATGCCAAAATAATAATCTGTGTTTATTCAGACCCATGTTGTGATTGAAATTTCACAGGAATGGAGGGCAAAGACCAGCGTATAAAGTGATTAGCCTTGGGTCATGCAGAAAAGTTAAAAATTCCTCCAGAAATACATCACAAGACTGAGAGGCCCCATAGAAACCACTGGGCAATGTTTCTGATACTGTGAAGGCAGAGCCATAGCACTGCTTAGCTACTTTCCAATGTAGTAGATATGATGCCTGCAAGATAACATCAAGACTTAAAAAATAAAATAGCCCAGCATAGGCCAAGATTTGGATTGTATTGTAGTTATGGTTTTCGATTACATTTAACAATAAGGTTATTGTCTCTCACTACATATTTGGCTAGATCTACAGGCTAACTATGACAATGGCTCACCTTGGTGAGTGTGTTTTTAATCTTAGGGGCATTTAACATGCAATAGTCATTTAAAATTCAATGAATACATAAGCATATCGTAGACCTGATTTCATATGTCCCAATTTTAAAAGTAGAGATTTTTTTTTCCTTTAATGGTTACACCTTGGTGTTTTGGGGAACTTCCCTGGAGGCAGTGGGCACAGTTTCAGAATAACTCCTAATGTGTAGCTTTGGTGGGGAGAAAGGGAAGGAATAGTCACATTCTTATTAGTGGATCCAGACCTGTCCGTTGGCCTGGAAAACTTCTTTTATCCTTCTGCATATGCGTTTGTTTTTGCTGATTCAATTCATTATTCAATTAAATTAGTCCCAGTTTAATAATATCGACCTCCCTCTAGCCTATCCCTTTAATGTTAGTGAAAACTAAAACCCAGGTGGTTTTCAACATGACACTAGCTGGAAATCAGTTATGAAATTACCTGTTTATTAATGATGTGTCAGGAGACTGACATGCTAACGGCAGGCACCGGCTGGAGTTGTGCTAATATAGAAATAACAAGACCATATTATGTGCAATATGTATTCTATACGACTATAACTTTCATTCCCTGGGGACACCCTTGAAATCCAGATGTTTTATCTCAAGATTTTAATCCCAGAGAGTGAAGATTTTAAAGTGAAATCAAGCACACTCAACGTCGCTGTTTGGCCACACTTCCTCACTGGGGAACCTATGTGAGCAAACATTTAGTACCAGATGTGCAAAGGATTAGTGTCGTATCAGTTAATTAGCCAGACGGGGGGAAAAAAGTCATTTTGCAATCACAAAAAAAGTGGATTTAAAGCATGACTTTAAAATGCATGCCAAAAGACTGGTCTATTGATGAAGTTTTCGAGATTTCATGGTTATAGAACAAAATAAGAGCTGATATAGATTGGGGAAGAAAAGGGTATTTTATTTAAAATAAGGAATTTTTACAGAAAGGTTTTACATTTTTATCATAAAGAGCGCTGGCCACAACACTATAAATAATATACTGGATAGATTCATGCAGGCCACTTTTTCTTTTTTTAAGCAGACAAAAATGTACCATAAAGTTGATATTAGTAACAGGTAAAATAAACCAACGACCCTTGCAACTTGGGTGGGGAGGGAGGTTGTTTTATTTTTTTTCCTTTCCTTTTTCCCTTAGAGTGTTCTATAAACTAACTCACACAGCAGATGGAGTGGAGAAATAGCTATGATCTGATGATTCTATATTATTGCAAATAAATCCCACTATATAACAAGTCACTGAGTAATCTGTACGAAAATACTCTCTTAAGCACAAAATATTTCAATAGGTGCATTTGCATAGATCAACTTGTTGCACCCCATTTTTCTGTCACCCTTTCCTAACATAAACATGTTATCTTTCAGCGTCATCTCTCTTCCTGAAGGCCAGACCAAGTGGATAGTGTGTATGTAGCCGCCAACAACTTTGGAGTCTGAACGTGGAAAGTAACCTGAAGCCACAAATGTCTTTAAGTCGAATAACTTCTGGACGCTAAGTCTCAGCGCTCTAATACAAAATGGCAAGAGAATTAAGAACACATCAGCCTGCTTTTACAAAAGAAAGGAAAAATATTACGTTTTTCTACTCACTTGGACTTCGAATTGCATTCTGGCAATTTCCCTGCATTTAAGAAACCCCCACCCCCCACCCCGTTGCACCAAATAGACGGTTGAATTTTTGAATTTTTAGCTGTTGGTTGGGGGGGGGTGGATATGGATTTGGCTGGTGTAGATAATCTGTCTGGGTAATTAATGAAGCTTGTTGGCTTTTGTGCTAGGAAATCCAGGCAATGGAGTCACCCATTGCTGATTACCTGGAATTTAATTTCTAAAGAGGTAATGAGGTGGTGAAGGAAGCTTCGCATTTCAGCTCTAATATCAACGTCTCTGTCTTCCCTTACTTCCTATTAGGCCTTTGATGTCCTGCTTCTGTGCTTTCTTTAAAGAATTTTTTTCTTTACTCAGTTCTAGGTATCACGTTATACTATTTACCTGTTTCCCCCTCTAGATTGCGATTTAGTCTTGATTTCGTATGGTTGTGCCTTTGAGTCATGCGTCAGGTCCTTATCCAGTGTCTAGTATGCACTAACTATTGAATATTCTACAACAGTTTCTAGTCTGCAGTTCATTTTCTGGTGCATTTTCTCGTTCGATATTGACAACCACCTTTTGAGACAGGCGGCATCCTGTGTATTAACAATCCCTAAGTGACAGAGGGATTTTGAGGCCCAGAGAAGTGATGCAGTTTGCTTAACAGCCCGGGCAGATAGGAAGAGCAGAAGGATTTGAACTAAGACTCCATGACATCAGACCTTGTGTTCCTTCCACTGAGCTGCCCAGGCACACTGCTGGGTGAACGGGGAACAAAATCCCGTAGCTACCAGAGACAGCAGGAGAATGTCAGTTGGTTAGGTGCCACGGTAAGAACAAAACCACAATCTTTCAATTTAAAAGCCCAGTTTGTGAAATGAAAAGGCCTCTCTTTATAAGAAAATGTTTCGATTTTTTAAAGCCAGCTTCTTATGTTGAAAAATACTTTTTCAATTTGGGCCCGACTTAATGGGAACCCAAGGATTGATAAGTCCTCACATAAAGAAGAAAAAAAAAAATCAAGGTTCTAAAGAGGCAGTAGTGATTTGGAATATTCGTTGGAGCCTAAGGGATGTATAAAATCTACATGGCTATTTACATAAATTTTTTATAATTTCTATCACAAATATGCCCTTGCTGTTTTCCCGAATCTTTATTTAATAATGATTGTAATAAAATTAAGTTTATCTTCACTTGCCTTGCTCTTGGTGCCAAGCAGCCAAAATCAGCAATCCATTTTTTAAAAAAAATTCCTTTCCAATAAAAGCCCAGAATAGAAATAACACATGACTGTATGATGCTTATATTCATGGTGATTCAAAAGCACCAACTCCCAAATGGAAACAAAATGGAGACAATTACGAGCAGACTGGAGTTACTCTTTCAGTGAAGGTAAAGGATGTCTTCCGGTGTCCCCTAATTGACAGGGATTTAAAATCCTACAGAACAAAAAAAGGAAGTATACTAGGATACTGTCTCTTTTCATAGTTAATTTCAAAACAGAGACTCCCTTCTTCTCCCCAGAAATACCAGATTTTTAAGTTCGAGGCTAGAAGAGATTTAAAAAATGATTTAATCCAAGGAGTGCTTAGCGGGCAGGTTCATGCTTAGAACCAATATGAGGATGATTCCAGGCAAAAGCCATAAATAAAATGGGGGAATTCAATGTCCTGTGTTGAGTGTCCCTTCTCATGAAAATAGATTTCCTGAACACAATGTCTTCTCTTATTAGCTAAAGAATTTGCTGAATTTATGGGATGAATGTACCCTTGTGTTTTCTCTATCTTAGATGCCTGGGTAGAACATGATTCAATTAACCTAAAAAAAAACAAAAACAAAACTGAAAACAACAAACAACATCCCTAAGATTTACTTCTAATTTTTCCACTCTATCCTTTCCAATATATTCAATCTTCATGTCATGTTGATGGTGAGAGAGAGAAAAAAAAAATCCTGGCTGGCATTTGTGGCTCTCTTACCATTTGCCTAGATCTGAGCTACAGGCTTTATCTACTCTTTAAATTTCTTTCACTCTGCATTCTGATCCTCAGCATCTCTGCTATACCTCTACCTCCGGAACAATTATAGACCATTCTGTTGCAAAAATCCTTTTCCTAATATAAAAATGAATAAGATAGTCTTGAATATATAAATACTTAAATTTAAGTATTGCATATTTAAATCAATATATAAAAATATAATTTATATTAGCTAAAGAACTAATAATAAGAACTAATAATTAATAGAACTAAAGAACTAATAACTAATATTTAATTAGCTATCCATAATTATATATTAATACAAAACTATATGTTAAAATTATTAATAAATAATGAGCCAATATTTCTTGGGTAATTCAACCCAATGGTCCATTCCACACCCCACAATCCAGAACCAACCTGATCTTTCTAGTCTCACTTTCTCCCCTAACACTAACCCAAACATTGTAGGAGGTGGACTTGCAATAAGCAGATCATTTACTTTTTTAACACCGTTTTTCATACTTTAAAAAATTATTTTCTTTCCCTAGAACACCCTCGTCCCCTCTTTTCTACCTGTCCAAAACCTACTACGAAGAATGTCAAGATGGAGGTGTCAGCACATTCATCCCAGCGCTAGGCCTTTCTGAGCGTGAGGTCCTGTCTAGCTGCCCAGATCCTATGTCCATGATGATGGCCCTGGCAAAAAGAAGGTAGGAACACTTCTGTTTTAATTAACAGAAAATCTACCGTGGCCTGGCTTGAGCGGAGAGTATCTGTTAGTAAAATTACACAGTCCAAACTCAGAGCTGGCTCCAGGCACAATTGTATACGGGATCCCACTGCTGCCTCCAAGCTTTGATGTTTTCCAGGGTGGCTCTTGTGATCCCTTTTAGGATCTTCAGACTCTCCCTGTGACACAAAATGACTGCGTTAACCATAGATCCTGCAGTATTTTCAGATTTCTCTATTTTCTATTAATTAACTCATGGATGTGTTTAGTTTGGATGGAGCCAATTCACCCTAAAGTTCTTTCTGTTGACTATTTTACTGAGCATTTGTTTTGCTCACGTTTTGGAATTTTATGTTATCAGCTCACCTTGAATGAGATTTTTTTTCTCTCTCTCTCTTCCCTACATCTGTCTCATCAGTTGTATTATTCTTCCTGCCTGTAGTTTAAAATTCCTAGAATAGTACCAGGACTTATATGACCATCTTCCACCAGTGGATCAGTTAGGTTAAGTTAAATGATTCGACTGACAAATTTACTTGGCTTAGTGCAATAGAGAAATTCAGTTCTTCTTCCAATGACAGTCTAATGTAAGTGATTTCTTGCCAGAGGATAACTTTCTGTACAGGGATTGAGGGCCTCACCATCCCTCCATCTCATGCCTTTGCCGTTTCTTATGTTCTCAGAATCTTCTGACGGCAGATGGGGAGCAAAAAGGTGAGAAGAAACAGCAATGTCCTAATCACCCTGGACAGAAGGGGAGGCCCACGTCACACTAGAACTCATCTCCCAGCCCCACTAGCATGCAGGTAAGATGGGGGAATGTATGCTCCTGGCTAGGCATCACTTTCTAGGTACCATTTCTCTCCACCCTTCTAGGCACTGAGCTTTAAAGGTTCTTTGACCACAGGGAGTGGCCGCTGCTCTTTCTGCTTTTTCTCAGGACCAGGGGAGCCTTGCCTGGTGGTGCAGATTTCATGCAATGAGCTTGGCTCTTTACCGTTGTCTACTCTGGGGGATTATTAATCTTTGACTTTCCATCATGCACATTCCAGGCCTCTTCTTCTCAGGTCTGGACTCTAGTCTAAGTTGATGCACCATGTTCTCATTAGTGAGAATTAGGTCTTAACCTCATCTATGATGCAGTCAATGAAGTCAGGCGGATGGGATTCAATAAGTAGGTCTGTCAGGGACCATCCCCAAAATCTAAACCAAGGTCAATACCATGCAGACCAGAAGGGCTGAGGGTTCGGCAAGTAATGGAGATGATTTTCCCAGGAAACACTGGATGAAGCAAATGGATGCTCAAGTTCACAAGCAACCTGCCCACTCATCATTTGTCCCTGTCTACCTGTATTATTATCTCTGGCCATTTATGTCTCCCTGCTCTCCTGTCAGACTATGCACCTTCTCTGAATGGAAACCATGTACTATTGGTATTTGTGTCCTGTGACACCTGGCCGAAGGAAGGAAGGAAGGAGGGAAGGAAGGAAGGAAGGGAGGGAGGGAGGGAAGGAAATATTCCTTAACTTTTATAATCTATTTACATTTATTAAGTGACATGATGGGGGAAATGTCTGAAAAGTGCATCGAAAATATTATCTAAATATTTAACTCTTTATACCAACACCTGTATCAAAAGGTTTCCCTATCCACCATCTCAACCCCATACCCAGCAAACATTTTTGAAAAGAAAAGGGAAAAAAACAGAACTACTTTTTTCTCCTGAAAGCAAATGTATCCTCTGCTACTGGGTTGAAGATCTCGAGAGACCCCCCTTAACTCAGTCCATGGGAGCACTTTCGTTGCGTGAGCCACCGAGACGGATGGCGAACACCAGGCATGCGTGCTCTCAGGATGATGAAGGACAGTTCTCTGTCTCCCCTCTAACGCAGGGCTTGCTTTTCACTTCTTCTCGTGGACAAAAACTGTCTGTATCACAGTCAGGAGAGGGAGGAGGGTTGGGGGTTGGGGTGGGGGAAGGCTGGAAAAAACTAGCAAAAGGGAAAAAAAAATTGGAGAGCCAGCCTGGCACCAAAAATATAATTTAGTGTGCAGGTATTTGATTTGATAGAAAACCTGCATTGATTTAAAAAAATAGGTTCTTGACAAGGTCGTAATTCATTGAGAGAGGCCAAGCCCGCAGCTTAAGTTTGACATCCCCCTCCAACCCAAACCATAACTGGTTTTAGGTGATCCCCTGTGAGGGTAGCATGTTGCAGCTGGCAAAAAAATAAACACTCCTGAGCCCTGTGCTAACAGAATTTTTTTTTTCTTTCTTTCTTTATTTCTTTCTCTCTCTCTTTTTTTTTTTTTTTTTGATTTATGCCACAAGCTAAGGAAAACAGTTACATATTTGTGAGCCCCCGTTTTGTTTGGCCTTTGCAAGCTTGCAGGATTGGTGTCCCGCTGAGGGAGGGAGACAGTGGGAAGGCTGTAGCAGGCAGGAACAGAGTAGGCGGCAGGGAAAAGGCAGTGAGTCGGAGACGAGGAGATGGATGATTATGAAGGGAGAGACACACTAGCTGAAAGCTCTGATTGGCCAGGTCTCTCTCTGGGCAGACTCTCTGCCCATGCCTTCTCTGCCTCAAGGCCGTTCCAGTCTCGGCTGAAAGGCAGATTCCTTTAAAGCTGGAGACTTGTGAAGGATTAGCTGCCCTTGTTTTCCCATGTGGCATCATTCTTTTTTCCTAGAGCTTGGGAGACTGGTAGTTTCCCTCTCCTCTCCTCTCCTCTCCTCTCCTCTCCTCTCCTCTCCTTCTCCTCCCTCTCCTTCCTCTCCTCTCTCCTCTCCTTCCTCTCCTCCTCCCCCCCTCCCCCTCTCCCTCCTCCCTCCCTCTCCTCTCCTCTCCTCTCCTTCCTCCTCCCCTCCCCTCCCTCCTCCCTCTCCTCCCCCCTCTCCTCTTCTCTCTCTCTCTCCCTTCCCTCCCTCCCCCTCCCCTCCCTCTCCTTCTCTCCTCCCTCCCTCCTCCTTCTCTCCCTCCCTCCCTCCCCTTCCTCTCTCTCCTCTCCCCTCCTCTCCTCCCTCCTCTCTCTCCCCCCTCCCCTCCCTTCCTCCTTCCTCTCCCTCGCCCCTCCCCTCTCTCTCCTGTCCCTCCCCTCCCTCCTCTTCTCTCTCTCCTCTCCCTCCTCTCTCCTTCCTCTCCTCTCCTCCCCTCCCCTCCTCTCCCCTCCTCTCCCCTCCTCTCCTCTCCTCTCCTCTCTCTCTGTCTCTCTCGTTTCTTTCCTGCATGTGGCAGAGTCAACTCAAGTCTGGTGAACGTACGTGGGAGTCTCTGAGGATGAGGAGGGACTTCCTTTCCTTCATTGCCTTTCCCTCCTGGTTGTCACTGGTACAAACTGTCAGGGAAAGGCGATGTCTCATCAGGCATGCTTGGTCCTCATTTTGCAGAGAATGAGCTTGTTAGGGAGTTTAGAAGCTTAGCAAGGTTAAATAACTCAAGGTCCCAAACTCATCAGTGGTGATCAGGTCTAAGGCTTGTATCCTGGTTGTTCACCTACTGGGCTTTGCACTTACTGGATCACAAGCCCACGCCCAGATCCCATTGAAAGAATTAAAGAAACAATCGTTAAATAGAAAGAGGTACCCTGGACTAGCTCCTGGGACAGAATGGGGACATATTTGGAAAACCTGGTGGAATCCAAATAAAGACTGGAGTTTAATCAATAGTAATATACCAGTGTTGGTTTCTTAGTTTTGAAGATTACAATGTAAGATGCAATTGTATGATGACAGCTATAGAGGAAAGTGGGCAAGGAGTACACAAGATCCCTCTGTACTATATTTTCGATTTCCTTTTTAAAAGAAATCATTACAGAAAAACAAAGGCATTCTAGCACTTCCGTCCAAGTTTGTAGTAGAATGCACTCCCCAAATGCATGGACTCTATTAAGGTCATGCGATTTGCTACTTGCTCCCAGAAACTGAAATGGTCTTGTTTCTCCCAAATAAAAACTGGAAGCTCAAAACAGGAGGATGTTGACAACTCTAGAGATATTGTTTTTTTAGGGATGCAGATGGGTGCTCAGTTTATCATGTTTATCTTTAGAGAATAAAATCTATATTTTATATATGAATCCCAACTTACAATGAAGAAAAAATTAAGAGGTTGAATGCACATTTTTATTTCTTGCAGAGCCAGAAGATTAGTCGATATTAGCCTTGAGCGAATCCTATCTTGACCCCAGTGTTTCTTGAAAAAACATAAATAAGATCTTTCCCCAGGAGCATACAGTCCAACTTTTGAGAGCCGACTGCAGTCATGGCTTACCACCCGTATTCTTGCCAGAACCTCTAAATTACTTACATTATTACATCATCCTTCTTTGTGTATGTACTTGTCACATTGCATAAATATACCCTCTCTAGCTGGCTTCTTTAATCTTTTCTATCCACAGTATATATCACTAAAAAATGACTTCACAGGAGACAAATTATTCCATAATAATGCACAGAATCATTTGAATCACAGTTGGTCTCCATGACAATATGAAAATATAAATGTCTGCTGCATAAAAATGAAAAGAAAACTGTGTCGTGGTAGTATAAAAAAAATGAAGTTAATTCAATACTTCAACTGGATTTTTTTTTTTTACCACGTTGTTCCCATAAGTACATGATGCAACCTTACTGCCTTTTAAAGCACACACACAGACAGAGAAATGGATATTTTTTCCATCCTATTTGTCTCCTTTTCAGACACAACCACTGATTCACCAGTCTCTGGACAGGCGGGCAGCAGCAGCAACGGGGGCGCCTGTGAACTTGAGTATAATAAAATTCTGGTATAACAGTGTGTTGAATGTTTACTTTGGCTACGCCACCCTCTCAAATCCCCCTTTCAACTAATATTTTAAAATGTGGAAAGACATTAAAATGGAGATAAATTCAAAGCTCTCTTTGAAAGCGAGTGTCTCTGACTCTGAAAATGCTGAATTCTGTCCTCTCGGCCGTGTTCAAATTCCCTTCATTTTCATAATTACCGTGGCACGAAAGTTCAAGCTACCACCTGCCTTTTGGCAACTACCAATTTCACTCTGAAGCAAGGGAGAAAATGGAGGTCAGGTACCCTTAAGAGCTACTTCTGTTTCATCACTGATATTTATAATTGGTCTTATGGGGGGAAAAATGGAATTAACTAGAGTTTATCATTGGTAAATAGAATGTAATTTAGAATATTACATTAATATTAAATAGAATGTAATATAATTAAGGGCTTAGGCTCTGGACCAAGCAATGATGCAAATGAAACCCCACTCAGCTCATTACTGGCTGTGTTACCCAGAGCAAATCTCTTGTCCTCTGTTATTCTTGGTTTCTTTAGACGTAAAATAAGGATAATGGTAGCGCTAACTCAATAGCAGAACTAAATAAGATAATGCACACAAAGCACTCAGTGCAAACGACCTCACGGAACTCTAGAACCCCCATATGTTCAAATGGGTTCACCATGAGTGATTCTAATACTGTTATGATTAATCCCTTTTTATCCCTTTTTAAGTCATCCCTACTCTAAGCCAGACGATGTTCTAAACAGTAGAGGATAAAAAAGTGCCTACTCTCATGGAGTTTGTGTTCCAGTGGTGGAGATGGACCCACACAAACCAAACGAATATGTCATTTTTCCCTGGGTAGTTGCTATACAGAAGAATAAACAAGGGCAGGGACTATAAGGTAAAGTGGGCCATTTTAGGTAGCATGCCCAGGGAAAACCCTTCTGAGGAGGTGACAGTTAGGCAGAAACCTGCTTGAAGTGATGGATTTCAAACGGCATGCATGTCTAGAGAGGATTATTCCAAACACAGGGGGGCAGAGTGTCAAAGCCGGCTGGGAAACGTGGCTGGCATGTGTGTGTGGAACCTCAAAGGACCCTCTGCGGATGGAGTGGAGTATAAACGAGGAGATCTGGAGGAGGTGAAGTCTGAGGGATGAGCAGCACCCAGACCCCGCGTTGACCTCGGACCCTACTGTGAGTGGGACGGGAAGAAGCCACTCGATGGGGCCGAGCAGTGCCGTGGAAGGATCTGAATTCCGTAGGTTGAAATCTGAGCAGGGAACTGACTGGCGTGGGTGGCAGCAGGGAGGATAATGCTGGGAGTCTTGGCCGTCAGTCTGGGAGAGGGATTATCAGGGCTGGGGCCTCACTGGGCTGCAAGAGTCTTCTGTCACTTGAAGCTGTTCATTGAAATTACGGGGGGAAAAAATTGAAAAATTAGAGAAAAGATAAAATTTATTATCATTAGAAAAAGTGTTTGAGAAATAATAGACAACATCATGAGGTTGTGAAGCAGGGAATGGTGAAAGCCCATGAAAACAGAGAGACAGGCAGAGGAAAAAGAGACTTTGATGGACAGTGGGAGGCGATCTGGAGGCCCTTAAGGGAGATGGATGCATTAAAAGGCTGGTTACGTTCATAAGTGCCCGGTAAACCACACCTGTTGCTATTTAGTTAGCCCTTTCATTTGTCGTACACCACGATTTATATTTGGTATGTCTTTTAGAGACCTCAATAGATTTAAATTAAAGTTTAATACTTTGTGCATTGAATATTTAATTTTATTTCTTCTGAACATGATAATGTGCAAGACTGGACTTGGGTGGCCTAGTTTTACCTGGGTTACAAGATATTTTTTAAAAAGGTACTTCTTTTCCTTTACTTATGTGTTTTTTTTTTGTATTAACCTAGAAACATCTTCTTTTGATTCTTTACTCTCTGTGCGGTTATTTATGAAGAGATTACATTAAATGAATAAACATGGTGATTTAGAGGTAAGTATGTGATTTCCTACTTGGTTGTCTAACTGTTTTTGATCATTCATTCATCTATAAATTTAACAGATATTTGCTGGCTATTCAGAGGTAAGAAAACACACACACACACACACACACACACATATATATATATATTAGCAGAATGGAGTTTATGGTATAGCTGGGGTTGGGGGAAGGATAATAGATACTTAAGCACATAAATAAACAATTGCATAGTGCAATAAATGCTGTGAAGGAAGAAGTGTGCAGGCCAGCAAATATGAAGGTGAGGGAAAAATATTCATAGCCTGATGAGGCAGTGCCCCTCCAAGGAACTGACATTTAAACTCAGAACTGAAAGATGTGAAGGTACCGACTATTCCCAGAGTGGAGAAATGAATATAAGACAGGCATTGAGTCAAAAAACTGTGCGACAAGGTTGGGAGAGCAGAGAGAGAACAATGGGACAGGGGCTGAGTGAGCAATGGAAGATTTGCAGACAAAAAGGCTCAGGGAATAAGTGGGGCAGCTTAGGCCAGGTGTTACATACTAGATCATAAACATCATTTGTTGTCCAAAGTGGGACACTTTTGAGAGTGAAGGCAGATGCCAAGTTGTCACTATCTCAAGCAAACTAGGACGTGTGGCCACTTAAAGGATCCTGGATTTTATTTGAACTATATTGGGAAGTTATGGTTTGATTTTCTGTTACTTTCAAAAGGTTATACTATATGAACCCAATTGAATGAAACCCATATATTTGTTCCTGAAAAGTTGTGTATGAGAATGATACACAACTGCACTGTTCAAAATAGTACCTAGTTGAAAGCTACCGGCATGTTTTTGAAGAGGAGAAGGGATGTCAAATTTATGGTGTGTTTTGACCATGAAATACTACCCAGCGATGAGAATGAGCAAACTCTAACTACTTGCAAAAATATGAATACATCTCAAAATGATAATATTTGTGTAAAAAGACAAGTCACAAAAATACTTGAGTACAGTTTCATGTTTACAAAGTATAAACACACACACGAAATCTGCTATGATTCTTTGGGTCAGGAAAAGTGGCTACTTTTAGGGATGACCATCACTGAGTCCTATTAATAATCTGACTTTTGATCTGGATGTGTTTGTGAAAATCTTTCAGTTGTACACTTACTATATATACACCTTTCTGTGTATAGTACATGTTCTACTTCAAAGGGGTGAGATATGCTTCCTACTGTATAGCAAATAAAGAGGGTTAAGACTAGAGATTGTCCCAGTTTTTATCAATTTCTTGTAAATTATTTCTAAGATATACATCTTAGAAATGCAATCAACACTTCTTGCACTTGATATGCAACCAACACTTCATGCTGTGGCATGGTTTGTCAACCACAGCACTATTGACATTTGTGCTGGATACTTTTTTTTGCTCTTGGGGGTTGGTGGTGGTGTTATGTCTCATATTGTGGGTCATTTAGTAGCTTCCCTGGCCTCCACCCACTAGATGTCAGTAGTAGCCTCACTCCTAGTCCCAACAATCAAATATGTCCTCTAACATTGCCAGAAGTCCCCTTAGGGGTAAAATCATCCCCAGTTAAGAATGACTGAACTATGGTGATCACAATTTCTGATATTTATGGAGTTCTTACTATGTGCCAGTTTCTCATTCAAGGGCTCTACATTTATTAACATATTTACCGACATGGTTAAAGAAGGTGCTTCATTGTCTCTGCTTTCCAGAGGAGGAAACAGAAGTCCAGATATTTCAAGCATATTTCCCAAGACACTGTGACTAGCTAGTAGGCGACAGAGCTAGGATTTATACCCAGACAGTCCAGCCCCATGGTGTACCCTCTTGGCTGCCATATTTGCCTCCTTACCTAACACGTGATCAATGATACATAGATTATGCTCAGATTAGAGGAATATGCCAGGGCCTTATGATTTCCATTGTGATATGTCTTCAAACCTTTTCATTCTTTAAAATGACACAAAGGATTCATATTTTTAAAAAGAACTATGAGAATCAAGCTTAACAACAAAGTACTAATCTGACTCATGGGTTACACCTTAATAAAACTTCAAGAGCTCATAGAGACCAATGTGATTATGGGACAAATTACTCCATTTATTTAAACCGAGGGGAAAATACTTATATTTTACAATTGCCTTGAGTTATATATAAAACCAGCTTCTGGCCCTTTAAGTACAGACAAAGGTAGAACCACTATGAGAGGCTCATGAATAAAGAAGTGCCATCCACATCAGAACAGGCATTTCTTCACTGTAAAGCCCTCCCTTTAAAGCATACCCCTCCCTGATTTGTGCTTCTTTAAGAAGAAAAGTACTTTTTTTCCTCTTGCTAACTAAATATGATCTGGAATACAACAGAATCAAATATCAAAAAACCTACATTAAATATACAACATATAAATAGAATGACCATGAACTAACATTGCTGAATTCGGTACTAATACTCATCACAAACTCATTTCTTATGGAAAAGCTGATTAAATATTTTACTTATCATGACTCAGTTGTCCTGTGTGTCCCTGAGTGCTGTCACATTGTCTATATTGTATTATAGTTCTCTATCAGTGTGCTGGTCTTCTGTATGTAGATAAATTGTATTGAAACATTGCTAAGCTTGGATTCCCAGCACTCAAAGCCTCAAAATAAAAATAAAAAATAAAAAAAAATTAAAAAAGAAAAAAAAAGAAGAGTAAATATGTTACAAGTTATTAACATTATTTTTCTAGTAAGCATGCATGTGTGTATATACATACACACATATACAGATATATGTGTGTATGTATATTACACACACACATGCACATCCTCATTGAGACTATATTTTGAAATTTAAAATTCTTGAAAGCTGTAAGTGTAGGGGGAAAAATGCCATTTTACAAAGCTTTTGTTTTTGCAGTTTTTATTGTTGGTGGCATTTTTGGTTTTTCTTCAGGCTGAAGAAGTCAAAATTTATCATTTTTGTTTTTGGAAAAGACACTTTTAA